CAGGCAGGTCGACGCCAACACCACCTAACCTAACCCTATCACGTCCCTCCAATGAGGGCGTGTCATTCTACAAGTCTCCATAGCAAGTTCTTTCTCAGTCGAGTCCTTGCTGACATCGCGCCTTACTGCGCCCCGGTCGCTCGTCCCTCGCGACGTCCGAACCATGCTGACCAAGCGGATCTGAAGAGCCTATAAGTATAGGCGAAACTTGGGGGTGGACGCCATTCCACCCAAGTCATCCAAGTCAGCCACAAGTCCTTCAGCAGGCAGGTCGACGCCAACACCGCCTAACCTCTCCGCTCGCCATGAATACAACGAGGCTGTCAAGGCAGCCGACGAGGCCATCGACCATCACAAGCGACTCCTACGTCAACAGGACGACCGTGTCCTCACCGAGCTCATTCGACTCGACAATCTAAAAGTTGCCCATCGCTTTCAACCGCTCCTACCGCGCAGCATCCGGGCGCGACACAACAAATTCATCCCGTGCGCCATCCCCAACGCGTACTTACCCCTACCCGCACCCCTACCGATGTCTGCCTTCAGGCGCCCCCTGATCCCATCCCCTTTCCTCCAAGCAACGCCGCGAAGCACTACCATCCCGGCTGACTGGCAACCCAACCCTGGTTGGACCCCGAAGGGAAGCTGCAGGCGATGCGGATCGTCTCGACACTGGGTACGGGACTGTCCGGACGTACGATGCGCAGGATGCGGAAAAGAAGCCCCTGGACACCTGGAGCGAGAGTGCGGAACCAGGCCGATGAAGCGACATGTATCCGCACCACCTGAAGAACCTGCGCGACGCGTGGGGGTGGTCGTCGACAACGTGTTCCTCGAGGAAATCATCAACGAGGCGAAGGAGAGGAAGGAGAAAGAGAGACAGATGAAAGCGGTACCTATTCCTCCACTGCGCAGCGCTAACCCCGAACCCCCAACCAGTCCCATCGCGGGACCCTCGTGCCCCCGCCCCGATACACCCGTCGTCTTTCGCAAAGTCGACCCCGACTGGACACCCGACACCACTCAATGGACGTGGGACAGCTCCTGGCCGCATCAGAAGCACCTCTCTGGCGAGGAATGGATGAACGTGGGGAGGAATGCGCGCAAGGAGTGGTTCGACGAAGAAAAGGATGACAGCGTAGATTGGGAGTTATACGGAGATGGTGAGCAGTAAGTAGTCGAATGGGACTTCGACTCTGGCAGGGGGGTAATGAAACATTTGTTTTTCCGTTCTATTCCTTGTACTACTAGCGCCCATACTGGCGCCTGTCTTAGCGCTCACCCGCAGGTTGAACATTATGTAGCTTACATAATGGGGTCCGTGCGCACTTCGTACTCGGCATCGTACCACTACATTTCTTTCTTCACTAACACGACCACATAGACACTATGGTCCGTGCGCAGTCGGTACTTGTATAAGTAGTTGTACCATTAGTCGGTCGAACCCTAAGTTCGACCTGGTTATTCATTCAAGTCTCTGCTCCTCTTCGCTTGGGGTAGTGGTCATTCTCGACTCCCTCGCTCGATCTTCAGGACGACGCACTGTCCATAAGTCCTCGCTCGTCGTCTACGAGTCAGGCATCGATATAGGAGCATAGACCATTGTATCAGGCGAATCTTCCGGGCCGGGTTCAACATTGAATGCTGGTGTCGCTGGGTTAGGAGCTGGTGCGGCGCCAGTGAGAGGGTCGTGGAACTCCGCGAGGTTCATCTCAGAGTCTTGAGACATGGTGAGGGGTAGAGAGCAGAAGGATAAAAGGCTGACGAAGGGCCCGATCGAATGACAGGAGTTGCCGAATTGGGAAGGTTTGATGAACGAACAAATAGGAGGTTCGACTCGTTGGGGGCAGAGTCAAACTGTAAGGACTACGAGAGGGTGCGAGGTACGGCGCGAGGAACGCAGCGCCGAGAGCCGAGGTCCTCAGTAGAAGAGAAGTAGTATATGATATTAATGGCAGAGCGCCGGTCTTCGAGTGATTGAGTCGAGGACGAGATGCACGAGAGAGAGAGAATATGATGAGGTAGAATTACTGGTGTTGACTCTGCGAGCATTCCCGAGTGAATACTCGCAGCTTATATACATGAGCGACGGGGCTGTGCTACGGTACGTACAGTAAGCAGTCGGTTTGTATCCGCGCTGCATTTCTATATACAAGTCTTCCGCCTTGTTGTTACTCAGCTTCCGCGCGGGTACTTGGTCATCGCGAGCATGACTGGGCCAGAGTGCGACCGACGACCGGTACGCGACGACCATGACAGCGGAGTGGACTCTTCATACTGACTACAGACCACAGGATCGCTCGTAGGTCCACATTCGAATTACTTATTTGGGGAATCTCACCACAAGGTTCGAGATCCTGAAGCCTTGCCTGAGGTAAGACAGAAATTGACAAGTTGTAGCGCTACATGAGCAATGCGACGTTCTGATCTGACAACCCAATCTTGACAACTACTACGGCCTGCGCCGACAAGCCAGTGTTGGAACTTGAGATTGTGGCGAGCGCATGCCACCGTATTTGACATTGTTTGTAGTACCTCGCAGACTTTGCGCGAGCCGTCCTGTATGTTCCTTACGCGTTTGACAGAGCTCAGACAAACGCGATATATCTTTGTTGATCGTTCTCGCTTCGGGTCTCGGACGAACTTTAACAGCCAGATCGCTCGGATTGAGGAGTTCGAGCGGCCTCTAGGCACACGAGCCCGTCGCAGTAGGATGCGCGCTGGTTGCGCAAGATGTCCCACGAGACAATCGCACGGACTCAACACATGGAAAGCTTGATCGTCGCAGATCAACATGCTTTGTGGCGGTACACACCTCGCGGCATTGGCAGACGCCATATGCACCCGAATCGCGAGTAGTATAAGTATAGCGTGCCTCGGGAATAGGTGATTGTGGAGGCATGGGCGCGGTCACGTTGGAGCTATCACCAACGTCTATAGCCATGGCTCAAGCGCTCACGGGGCGGTGCTGAGGGCCGCTGCACGCGTTGGCAATAAAGTTCAATGTTAAACAAGCTGAATAGGGTGCATAACGCGGTCTATAAGAAAGCCCAGAGATATATTTTGCGATCATAGATACATGAACGTAGTAGGCTCAGCTATAACTCGTGCGAGGTCAAACATATACTCGCTGGTAACGGCCGCTATGTCTAAGTGCCTGATATAGTCAGGACGAACATAAACAGAAGGACATGACCTGATGCACCAAGACTAGGGCACATAGCGTACTAGATTGGGAGAGCAGCACAGCAAGCAACTGACTGCAGGAGCGATGTGAATAGCGCCGTGCGAAAAACGAAACCACGAGCTAGAATCGTGTACATACTGGAACAGGGTCGGCAGGACGCTGCGCAGCGGCGTCAGTGTTAACCCTCTATCCGCGGCCCGCACCAGTCTAAACGTGGAATTATATTTGGGACATCGACGAAAAAGGATGGCTTGTGATGGACCCAGTGCACGACCGAGATGCGACCGCGATGTCAGCGCGAAGTAGAACATCACGATTGCTAGCTCACTCGTCACTCTACCCCTGCTCCTGAGTCGCCGCGCTTTCCTCGCTATTTGCGCGTCGACATGCCAAATCGACGTCGATAAAGATATCGTGCCTTATGAGGAATCCAAGAAGCGAGTGTCAGAACTTACCACAGGACAGCGCGCGCCTGCGGGCAAGACTCTGTCTCGACGTTGCGCCCCCATCGGCCTTTGAGGCAGTACGCACGGCGGTCGAAGTCCCCAGTGTATCCGTGTAATCCTGTGAGGGAAGGGCAGAGGACAGATCCAGAGCGTACCTCAGAGGCCTATTGAGGACGACCATGTGAGCAACCGACAGCGCTCAGTCAGCGAATGACACGGTTGCTATTAGCCGCCAGACGATGAGGAGCAGAGGACGAGGGCGACTACTCCGCGAGCATGACGGACACGAGCTTTAGAAGAGCGTGAAGACACAAGGCGTTGATTCTCGGGCAGGGTCGCCTTATGTAGAACGGCAACCGGGTTAGGAGTGCGAGCAGTTGCACAAGCTCATGGGAGAAGCCAGCGAGAGAGCCTGAGAAGGCAAGGTCGAGATGGAGCAGAGACGCGAGGATGGGGTTGCATTCGGCTTACGCAGCATGGGGGCAGCTGGAGACGGGCGTCGCAGGCAGGTGGAAACGAGGAGAGCCGACGGCAGCGTCGTGGTACTTTAGCACAATGGCCGAAACAGGCGCCGGCGGGTTCAGCAGTCCTCGTTGCCACCACCGTCGAGCGCGTGGTCCGTCTTCGCCTTGCCGTCGTTGACCTCGACGTGCCCTGCACTACGTTCATTACTGTCCTGCTCGCCCTGCAAGACAGCGCGAGCGGTCTTCATTGTTTGGTTCAGCTTTATCTTGCTATCGCATTGTGCGTGTGTGGCGGTGAGGTAAGTTTTGATCTGTTTGACCATTTCAGCATGGTGCGCTTTGTTGACCTCCTCGCGCGACGCTCCTCTCTCCCTCACGACTCTTCACGACCTCCGCTCCTCGCTGCTCTGATACCCATCCTACAGGCCTACACCTACCAGTGCTCTCAACCCCAGCATCTGCGCCTGTTTTGTTTCCGCCGCGATAGCCCACGATGACCCAGTTCGGGGACTTCGCGCCCCTCTGCCACACTGTCCCATCCTATCCCTGGTGCAACCTCTTCTACCGCCAGCTCGAAGACAACAATGTCACCGTCCTTGTGAATGCATCTGCCAATGCAGCAGCAGCCCCCGTAGGTATCAACCCCGAATGTGGCATCCTGCGCGTCGGCTTCGACCACTCGATCGGCAACGTCGCCAACATCATCGTCTGCGGCTTCAGCATAATTTTCATGTCGATCTTGATCTTGTGGACGCACAGGAGAAAAGCGGCTGTCGGTGAGTAGCACTGCCACCGATCTTTTTCAACTCCTTTTGTCCTTCGCGAGCTCTATCAGGCCTCGATGCTCTGTTCCGAACTATATCGCTATACTTCTTGTCGGTGACTACATAGTAAGCCACCACATAGGGCGTGAGTCCTCCCCGAGAAATGCCCGGCCCTGCCTTCCCCGTAGACGTTAGGGTCCTACTCAGGGCAGTCTCACGCGGCTGCGGTACTCTTCACAAGACAAGCGTTCTCATGATGGGCCTTAAGCACTACCTCAATTATCATTGTCGAGTACGTCGACACCAGACCTACACACTGAATCGCCATGCGCCCTGTCAAGTCGTGTAAAGCTCGTCCTTAGTCTTGAAAGTCCGTTCCGACGTCTTTCAGCGGCGTCGCGTGCCTGCCGTAGCCTAACTATCCACGAGCATGTCCTGTTCGTGGATGGATTCAGAGCAGCGGGCACATAATGCTCAAGTCCTCTTGGAGTGCCCACCTCGCACATATGCTAACGTGTGCATCCTTACAATCCGCATATACTGACTTTGACTCTTTTACAGGCCGCCTCGAGCTCCTCCATTTTCTCGCGCTCTACGCGCTCACGCTCCCCCTGCAACTCCTCACGACCGGGGCATTCCTCGAACAAGGCTCCACCGCTCTCACGGCTCTCAGCGCGGTTCATGCAGGGCTTGTCGCAGCCACGTTCTGGGCACTCCTCGGCAACGCAATCATCAGTACGCAGGTGCTCGAGGATGGGACGATTAGCGCGCTCATCGTGAGTACTGCTTTCTATCTTTCTTTCCTTCTTTTCTTCGCGTTGCCTCTCTACACCGCCCTTCTGTATCTTTCATATCGCATTGTCTCCCTCAGCCGTTGGCCCCGGTACACTAACTTGGCCATGCTATGCGGTTGATGGGACGGCAAGTGTGCCGCTCTACCTCCCCGGCCTTCTGTTCTTCACTGGCGTGGTTTCATGCCAAGACAGACGTTTTAGACAAGCGCGATGCGAAGCACGGTTGTGCCCGCCGGGCGATCCAGAAGCCAGAAACCACCGCTCGTACTAGTGCGCGCTGCACGCCGACGTGATCACTAGCCCGTACACCATTCGTTCACGCGGAGGACATAGATAGCGTTCGGCAGCGCTGGCCTACTCCACCTCCGCATTTCCGCCGACTTGTGTGTACACGCTGGCTAACATACTATCTGCTTCGCAGCCGTTCAACTTCTTCACGCTTGCGTTCTTCGTGGCAACGACGTATATCGCGCTCGACGTCGGCTTCACGTTCACGCATGTGTTTGGCCCGAGCGATCCCTCACAATCGCTACATAGCGTACCTCTCTTCGTGCTCACGTCCATCTGGCCCGGCGCGTGAGTCTCTTCCTGCTTTCACATGTGTTTGCTGACGCTGCGGTGTGCGTACGACATTTGAAATGGCAGCGCTGCGATCATCTACTTCCTTATCATGCTGTACGTCGTACTCGGCATGCTCAACGAGGTCCGCCCGGTGTGGTACTTCGTGCTCGCGATGGTGCTCTTCGTGCTCAGCCAGCTGGACTATTTCTTGTTGAACAAGGTCATCTGCAAGGTGCGTTGCCTGCTGCTGCAAGATTTTTGAACCAACATTCGTATTGATGCGATGCCGGCACAGGGCACCTCGGCAAAAGTAGACGGTTCGTTCGTCGCGACCATCCTCGAGACCGCGGCAGTAGGCGTACTCTACCTCGCATGGAGAAGCATCACGGAAGGCACGTCCTTTTTGCACGCTCCTAGCCCTTCCTTCATCAGCTCACGCTCACGCTCCGACAGAATCTTGGGACGACGACATATACTATCCGCGGTGACATCCGCGGCTGGCCTTATCTATTCCTTTTTTGATATTCGGATCTCGGAATGTTGGATTGACATTGGCATACCCGGCCCGCGCAGCCCCGCCCTTATACAGACTCCGCGCGCATGTTTATAGTATTTGTGCTGTCTGTTGTATTACTAGCGCTGTCGCTTATGCCGTACGTAGTCGTCGTTTTGTGAAGTGTATACATGCGGAACCGCTTGTTTTGCTTCAGACAGCGTGGCGCAGGCTTGGGTATTCTGCGTCTACGCCTGGGTACTAAGAAATGACAGTATGTATACAGCGAGCCTAGTCTACATTGATACTATAGCGGTACAACAAAACGATAGCGAAAGCGACAGAACGTAGGGCAAGCCCAAAGAATGTAAGGTAATGTCCGACCTTGGCGGAACACGAGGACACTGACCTCGATCGAAAGCCCAACAGCAGGGGATCAAAGCAAATCTACAGTTACACCGTGTTACAGTCCCGGAATGCGCTATCGGGCAACAATGATACAGGAAAAAACGCGGCCGCCCTACACGATGTTGCGTGCGATCTTGTGCGTAACCTTTTGCTTCACCTCGACGCACACCCAGCCCTCTTCATCCTCGTGCTTTACGCACCGTCCTAGCTTGTCGAGTAGCGCCCGTGCCCGCGCGGCCGAGTTCTTGCGACACACCGACATTGGCGCACATGCATTGGGAGAGCGCGGCGTGCCCGTTGGCTGGACATGATTGTACTGCTGGCGCGCGAGCACCTCGGCAGGATGTGCAGGCGACGTTGGCGTGGAATTGAACCCTGACAAGGCTTTGGTGCTTGTGCTGCGCGCCTTCTTGAGCCGCCGTGGGCGCTCCGGGGGAGGGATATTGAGGCAGAACGCTTGGTCGACACCATGCAGTGTCTCCCATGCCCATGACGACTCATCGTCTGCGCGCGCAGCCGGCTTGCGTGGGCCGAGTGTGGGCTCGCGCGAGGGCGGGAAGTCGACTTCGACGTAGTTGTTTGTCGATGTCGTCGTAACGGAGAAGGCGGAGTTCTGTGCATGTGTCAGCCTGCGATCCTGGACGAGGAGAGCGCTGACGGACTGACCAAGTTAAGGTTTACAAAGACGGGCAGACTTGCGTAGCTCCCCGTCGGCAGCTGACGCCCTTCAAAGAACCCCTCGTCTGTTACAGAGTCTCTCGACCAGGAGGGCCGCTCGAAGCGAACAGGCATTCGCTTGAACGGCGGGGGGGCAGTCTGATAGCCGGATCGATGGTATGCTGGCTCTCGGAATGAATCCGTGTCGTGCGCGAAGCCTGTGAGTGCAGCGGAAGAGGCGATAGCCGGACTATGGAAGCCGGTGCTCATTCCCGGAGGCACGTTTAGCCAAGTAGGGAGAAATTGTGAACCCAAGACCGTATCCGTGTCCGTTTGGCCCTCGCAAGGAAACACACGCAGACCTGGAATGTCGTCGTATGGGATTGGTGACGGGGTGGACCTCGTATTAGTGAGCGCTTGCGCGAGCAGGTCGATCGTCAGCGCTTGCGACTGGTTATCAAGCGCATCTCGAGGCGAGTCCTCCGCCTTGAGATTCGCCTTAACGCAGCGATCGCCTTCGGCGTCCAGTAGATGCGCGCCGGAGAAGACGATCATACCCTCGACTGGGTCCCATACAGCGGCAAAGGTAAGGGCATTGTGCGGAGGAACAAGCTCGGACCACCGATGCTCATCTCTCTCGTGCATCTTGCGAGACATGGCTGAGGAAAGGGGTCAGCTGCTTCTGGGACGCATAACGGGTTACGCAGAGCAGGCTCACTGGGGTTGTCGTTACTGCGTTATTGCGTCGGATGAGGAGTACTGGTACACAGCGCGCAGTCCTAATGACCATGCGGCGCTCACGAGTGTGCTGGTGTATCCACCGCGTGGCGGGGTCGAGCAAAGAGGCCCGCGAACGAAGGTGGGGTCTGACGGGTGGAGAGTCGGAAGCCCACGTATGCCCGCACACGAAGACGGCCTATGTAAGGGGTGAAAGGAATGGAAGAGCGAAGCAAGAGCAAGACGAACACTCGTGTGTAGCACGGCCTCATGCTGATCTTGGTGTCACTTTAGGAAGAGGGCACGATACCTCGTCCTTGCAGCCAGTCAGAAGCAGGTATCCCGTGAGAAGGAGGCGCTTCCTCCAGTGGGAATGCTCCCGTCCATTCGACTAGAACCCATTTCATTGATCGGAGACAATGTCACGTCGTGACGAACATAATCCCGAGCCTCGACTAACGAGAGATCCGTCCCTATGCATGATAGACGCAAATCGACAAGCCCGGGTTGTTGAGATGGTTGAATGCATCCTGAGCTGGAAAGAACGTTGCGTTGTGCGTTCATTCTGCCCGAGTTTGTCGCTCTATCTGAAGTGACACGACGTCATACATAACGCCGATAGGATGAAGAGCATGCCGCTCCGATAACGCACCGCTTTCAGGATGTATTAGGAACGGCGATTCGCGAAAGAAGTCCAATATGTTTGGACAAATGCCGTAAATGCACAGTCGCCAAGAAAATACGGCGCTCTCCCGGAGGTCACAGTCGTTGTGGAGAGAAAATAGCCGGTGCTATCCTCGGTGCAAGATCGTGGAGATCGGTTGTCCGCAGCTATGCACAGAAAGCATTGGCCGTAACCAGTCAGTACTACCCAACACAACGGGGGATACCGGACAGGAGGAGACAGACAGATCGCAGAAAATCCGTAAGATCGGGGATAGCCTGTGGTTGAACAGCCGCCCGGCTTCGAGTGATGAGTTTCCAAGCTTGAATGGAAATTGAATTGTTTCCCGAGAGTAAGGGCGTTGAGTAAACGTACCCCGTGCGCTCCAGGTTGGTCTCGAACAACGCCAAAGGCTTGCCGCCGTCAGCAAAGTCGGCTCTGCAGCACTGCAACGATCAAGCTACCGGTCTGGTCGCACAATCTCTTCTCGAACAGGTAATAACGACTCGCCTATAGAACGCAGATACTTCCAGGGCTGAGGTAATGGCGCAGCCACAGTATACTTTGCAACCGTGGTCCGTCTTCAGCGTAGTGTCAACCCGCTAGATACGAGTTGATCCGTGCCGGAAGTTACTGCAAGGAGACGTCAAGAGCAAGGCTGACTAACGACGAGGGGCTTGTTGGTGCTTTGCGGTGATGCAACGAGAATGAAGCCAAGATCGGTCTCCATGTTATGAATCCGCTGTGAGCTGTTCGTACCTCATTCACCAAACGTGTATTCATCTCGGGGAACGGAATGTATGCACGGTATGAGAAGCAGCAGGGTCGCGGGAGGGTAGCGTCCGGACATATTGAGCTTCGAGAACCCCCAGAAGTCGAAGCCACTGTGTGATTTTGTCGCATTGGAAGGATCACCGACAAATAAGATAGCGTACCGGCGTGGGGAGACACGAAGCTAGGCACTCCGGGTGATTTGACCGGCGAAGGCTGCTGTATGACGTGGGCAACGTCAGATCCGGCTAGCCAGAAACCAGATTAGCTTGTAGTATAACGGAAATGCTAGCAACGCCGATGACGGAAGGAAAACTTCTACTGTGTGTTGTCAATATTCGCAGGCGTGTCGCCTCGCGTTGGAATTGCACTCCTCGGGAGAGCGGTCGAGACAGTATACTTAGCCGAGAATGCTAGAAGGCGGGGGCGCATCGCTGCGTACCCACTCCACGCAAGTCTGAGATTTCTGCAGAGCGAGGATCGCATTCGGAGGCATGCTGCAGACCATGGGACCGCGGAGGGAGGGCGGGGAGAGCGTTGATGTGATCCAGGCCAGCAACACGTGTATGAAGAAGAGTCGAAGTCGACGGTGATTAACGCGCGGGGTCTACGATACCGATCGTGCGCAAGGAAGCGAGCGTGGGATGCGTGTGTCGACAGTGGCTTATGAACCGCGCTGCGGGAGAGGACTGTGTGCCTAGTCGGAAATGACAAGGAGGAGTACTGACTGCTATTGGGCGCCGGGAATCAAGCTGCGGGGCCGTTGTGGTCATTGCACGAGCCGTTGAACTGTTTTCGATACGGCTGAGGATGAAGACGTTTACATTGGGTATCGTACTACTGTGAACCGAATTCTGGGGCTGTAGGTCCGAGATATCGAAGCACGAGATTCTCGAGATGCCTCGCTGGCTGGAAGCGCAGTCAGCGTCATGTCCAAGGAAAGAGGGACGGCACACTTACTCAGCTGAAGAAGTATCCTTGAGCGTCGATGTCGTCTTGTGATTCGCTATCGACAGGCTATCTACGATCGCGCGGGTGTCTATGACTGCTCCTTTCATCAGGGATGTGCAAAGAGATGACTGACGAGGGATACCACTGGTAACGACACAGCGTTCATTGGCTACCCTTGCGGAGGTTGCATATGGCTCATCCCAGGCATGCGTTCGTATCTAAACGATTGCACTCACGCAACGCCACCCGCTGAAAACGGGTAAGAACATATTGCCAAAAGAACGCACTCTTTCCCGGCAGCCGTAGAGCATCCTCGTTCGAAGGAGAAGATGTCAGAAAGGCTCGCTTGATAGCCTCGTCTTGAATTACAACCATGGGAGAACGTCCGGGTAATGAGGCATCCGGTGGTGCATCCGGGAAGAGAAGGGGATAATACGCACGTAAGATTAGATCCTGCGACGACGCTATCATTGAACGTACTCTTTGACGTTCATGGCTGCCTTTGTGCCAATCAAACGGGATTGAGTAGCATATATGCTTCCTGTCGACGAGTGTTACGAAGTTGATGATGACCGGCTCTCAATGCTAAAACCGACAGATCACGGAGATGGTAAATACCTCATCATGATCATTGCATCAGACGACTGTCCTCGAGCCGAGGTCTCGACGCATACCTAAGCGGAAGTCGCTTGAAGTAATGCAGACCCTTCGACGCGCATAGAATTTGCTATGACATGAGACTCGAGAAAAGCAGTTTGGGGAACGTGGGCGCCACGAGGCACTTTTCGACCGCATCCTTGTAAAGAGAAGAGGGTATTGCGCACGTAACATGGGATCCTGGACGACTTCACCTTGCCTTCGCAATCTCCCATGCACAGGCGAGTCGGGCCGTCAAGTCATCGCATCGCTTGGGAAATAGGATAGGGATCGCGCTTTCGAGACGTCTCGGAAGCATACGAGCATGCACCGACCATCGGACCTGTGGTTCTGTGAACGATGAGTGGGTCGCATCCCGACGCTGTGAAATTCTGGCTGATAGTGAAGAGACGGGATCTTATTCGTATTCGTATTCGTATTCGTCACCTTAGAAGGCCCAGACAGTGAGACGTTCATGTCCGAGAGAAAATTATGAATACAGGATCGACATACAGGAAGGCTATCTTGCGCGTATCGTTCTGGCTTGACGAGGGACGCTAGTTCACATATTAAAGATATGCATCTGAAACTTGCTTACCCTGGCACCCGGAGCCGCTCCTACTGGACTTCGCTCTTCAGTGCTTCTGCACACTTCGGTGAATAGTATATAGTTCCTGGGATTTGCTCCTTTTACGGTACCCGCGCCTGACGGCAGCAACATCGATCAACTGCCTTCACAAATTTCTGATGTTCGGGGAGTCAGGTCAGACCCTGGACAAATATTGGCGAATTTCCTCATGGACTAGAATATCAAGACAAGCACGAGAGCGGACGAGACCAAGTGAATTGTGAGTAGAGAACCGGTCTGAAGACTGAAACCCCACCCCTGTGCGCTGCCTCTAACGATTATCGCTAATTTTTGCTAGATCCCTCAGCCATCAGCCTGAACACACATGGTCCGACTTGCAAGTCACTTCCTAGATATATCTGTGATTTCTAGTCAAGGTTGCTCGCATTGGCCGCACAGTGAGAGACGAAGGGAGACTCGGCATTTGCCGGGCCGCAGTCCTGGGCGTCTCTTGGCGCAGTCTGTGTGGACAGGCGCCCAGCGGACGACTGAACTGGCACGACGAGCTCCTCATTCTCCTATACCCGTATTCCCTCTCTAGCCTCCAGCCTCTGTCTTGGATAGTCCGCTGGCCGCCCGACCAGTCTCTTTGCGACACTAAGGAGGCGACCAATAACTCTGGCCGACAACGCATGCGATGACATCCACAGGCGGCCTCTCGCGGAGGCGCGTGCCTAACGCCTCCTCGTCCGTGCAAGCAGACGACCCCGATGAGGACGCATGGGGCCTCGGTGCGAGTCCTTCGACGCCGACGAACGGGAATGGCACAAGCAACGGCGGCACTGCGCATCACTCGCATGCGGGCTCGGCATTTGAAGGTGGGAGTAAGATCGCGTACGACCCGCGGGACCTCGAGCGAGCGGACGAGGACGAGCGACAGGGCGGCCGAGCACCGAAGCTGACAATTATGGAAGAGGTGCTCCTGCTCGGGCTCAAGGATAAGCAGGTGTGTGCCATTATACATTGCATAGTCGGGTACGCTCGCTGGCCGTGGTTATGCTTCTTCACGGGGGCATATTCATATCTGCTTGATACCACATACTACATTGTGGGCTGGCGGGCCCGCCACTACTGCTGTACCGCTGGCAAACAAATCCTTCGGATTTTGCGCGCGTAGTTTGTCGCGAGCGGCACTTCAATGATGGCGATGCGACGACGCGGAGATCAATGGCTGGGCATGTTCGCTTGTTGGCACAGCTCCATACCTTAGACTCGGGTTCAATAGCCTGTGTCCCTTACTTGCTTTCATGGTTGCGGTCTTGAATATAGTCAAGCCCGCCTGAAGTCTGCTAGCTTTGGCTGTCTGTACGTCCTTGCGTACAGGTCCAGTCATCGTTCGCGAAAGTACGCCCGCGGTCTCACCTCTCTGCAACAGTTGCTCTCATGCGAGTATCTGTGCGGTGATTTGCCTCGGTGCCAAATGTCTGGACAACTTCGGAATCTAGTATCTATGGTACCACTTACTGCGATAGCCGCCCGCCGCTCGTGATGTCATGCTGGTATTAATTCTAGTGCAGCGTGATGTTTGCTGTTCCATAAAATCTCCGTGAGATGCCATGTCTGACTGCCGTCTTCCGTCAGGGCTATTTATCATTTTGGAACGACAACATTTCATATGCTCTACGCGGGTGCATCCTCGTCGAGCTCGCACTACGGCGACGAATCGCAGTAGTGCGGGATCCCAATCGTCGACAAGTACCGCCATCGGAGCGCATGGTGGAAGTCATCGATGATCGCCAAACAGGCGAGACGATCCTCGACGAGACCCTGAAAATGATGAAAGCGCAGGAAGGCGTGGAACGCATGGCGATCAACACATGGATAGACCTGCTGAGCGGTGAGTACCCCTCCCCTGATCGCCCCACACCAGCATGTTTCCAACATCGTCTCGCAACCCGGGACGCGGACTCACGCGACGCAGGCTGACGGATGCGTTTTATTTCCGATGCGACTCGGCCGGGCGCGACACAGGCGAGACATGGAACGTGATGAAGATTGGGTTCCAGCTGAAGCAGGTGCGGGAGCGGCTCGCGAAGGGGCTGGTGGACAAGGGCGTGCTGCGGACGGAGAAGCGCAACTTCCTGCTATTCGACATGGCGACGCACCCGGTGGCAGACGTGCGGACGAAGGAGACGTTGGTCGCGCGTGTGGTTTCACTACTGACGGCGACAACGAGCGCAGTGCCGGCGGCAGCGGTGCAAAAGGAAGGCACGCAAGCGCGCATTGCACGAGCAGTGTGCCTCGTGTGCGCGGCGTACGCGGCGAGCGTGCTGGACAACGCGTTTGGGCGACTGACGTACGAGGAGCGCGAGGCAGCGTTCCAGCGGTGCGACGAGATCCTCGCCGAGTTTGCGTGCTGGCCGTTCGGGAGCGCGGGAGCGGCGAAGAGCGGGGGTGGGACTGGGACTGGGGCAGCCGGACGGCGGAGGGAGGGGGCGCGGATAGGGATGGGGAGCACTGGGGGTGCGGTGAGCGGGCGGGAGGCGGTGCTGGGGCTTGTGCTGGAGGTGAAGAAGGAGATGCGGGGAGACGAGGATCTGTGCTTTGAAGCGGTATCTGGCGTGCTGGAGGTGCTGTCCAAGCTAGATTCGCTGCTGCTATGAGCTAGTGGCGGGTGTGTGTGTCTACTATATATTCCCTTTCCTTTGTTTCCGTAACAGTGGTACCTATAATATTGCTATTGGTGGTACTGTGTTATGAGGATCAACGATGCTCTAGCCGTCGCCTGCTAGCCGACAGTGTCTAGAAGCCCGCCTCTGACGACGCCTGTGAAACCCTCCCCTCTAAACCCCCGCGGATGGTCTGTTGTTCTTGTCCTGTGCGTGCGAGCTGATGCCCCTCTTCGCCAGACGCTCTCTCACCTCCCCTATTCTTCGTCTCCCCGTATTCGAGCGCATATACTCTACTCTACCCTCACCATAAGCCATGGCTAGGTCTCCCAGAGGCCGCATCCGACAGCTCGCAACCACGTCCGACGACCCCCTCACTCAAGCCATCGCACCGCCCCCAGACGAGTCCGAGGTTGCGCGAGCGGAGCGGCTGCGCCAGGAGGCAGAGGCGAAGCGCATTAGCGACGACATCGATGAGGAGCTCAAGCGCGAGCGTGCTGTCTGGAAGAAAAACAAGTCCCTCTTCAAGCTCTTGCTCCTCGGCCAAAGCGAGAGTGGTGCGTTGCATGCATTGCTCCCATGTCCACCCGCGCTGACCACCTCCGTGCTCCCCAGGCAAGTCGACCACGCTAAAGAGTGCGTGCTCTTTCTGTTCTATATTGCCGTGGACTGTTACCCCTCAATGGCGGATGCATCGTCCTAAATGGAGAAGTAGCCCGCCCTGACCCATGAGAGATACCCTGCCTCTACCCAACCAACAATATCTTGTGTCCTGTGCTTCATTCCCGCTCCCGCTGATCGCAGACCCTTGTCCACTATCGGTGTTTCTTCCCACCCCGCACTGGTGGTTTTGTGTCCGACATCTCCAATCTGTCATCGCTGGTCGCCTGGCAGCCAATAGGCTGCGCGCGACGGGGACGGCAATTCATGCACCAATCATATACGGCCTCTCGATAGTGAACTCCAGCTGAATCTCCCCTAGCCCTTGCGGTATCTATGGAGCCGAGAAGCGTACTAGTTCCGCTCCCGGGTCCGCTGTGTTGATGCTGGATGAGACGTTCCTGTCGACATGTACTATTCGGGCCATACCCTATTGCTTATTCTCTAGTCAATAGTGAGGAACGGGTCTGTACCGTTAGCACGAGAGCGTCCCTCAGTATAGGCCAGGGCGGAGGGGATACAGGTGCCTTGAGGTCATATTGCCCATTCGCAACCCTGCTCTATAATTCCCAGAATCCCGATTCGTCAATTCCTTCGTACCTGTGTCATTGACCGTCTTTACAGACTTCCAGCTCGCCTTCGCCCCTAATGCATGGCAGCAGGAACGCGCTTCTTGGCGTTCCGTCATTCAGCTCAACCTCGTCCGCTCTGTCAACATCATCCTCGATGTCCTCGCCGAAGAAATGGCCGCTGCGCCCTCCCGCACAACCAGCCCCGGGCCTGGCTCCATCGTGACCTCGCGACCCACCAGCCCCAACTTCCACACCATCCCTGCCTCTCCTAGCGCGGACCTGGATCCTGACGCGGATGCCGACGCCGATACAGCGCCTCCGCTCGAGTTCTCGCACCAGCATGCGCTCCTCAAGATGCGCCTCACGCCGCTGCGCCAAGTCGAGGCGGACCTGCGGCGGCGCCTTGGCGCGGGGTCGTCCGAGGTCGTGCTCGACTCCAGCGCCGGCAGGGGTGCGGGCGGGGGCGCGGTGAATGCGACGCCGTTCGACGATCCGTACCCGCGCAGCACGCGCGGGGGCGACCTGTGTCTGCGCACGAACCGCTCGTGGCGCGAGGCGCTGCACACGGAGTACCAGACCCAGGCCGCGGGGAATGCGGGTAGTGTAGAAGGCAGCACGAGCGAGCACGGTGAGCGCGGGCGCATGGACAGCGCGACGGAGGTGCTAGCCGGGTGTGCGGGGGATGTGCGCGAGCTATGGGCGAATGGGGTCGTGCGCACTATGCTTGCACGGCGCAAGATGCACCTGGAGGAGTCGTCTGGTTTGTGAGTGGCCATTTGTGTGCTCGATCGGTCCGAGCATGCGGACGCTCATGTTGTGTGTTGCGGCGTGCAGCTTCCTAGACGATGTAGAGCGCATTGCGACGCGCACGTATGAGCCGACGGACGATGATGTCGTGCGTGCGCGATTTCGGACGCTGGGGGTGCAGGAATATAGCCTTACATTCGAGAATACCGGTGAGACCAGTCCCACACTATACCTGATTGCTGTGGATGGCATTCCCTCACGGGCATCTGGAAGGACCGCCTGCTGACTGGCACTCTTAGATGTTACGGAACGCGGCATCGCGAAGGAGTGGATGATATACGACGTCGGAGGTGCTCGAACATCAGTACGTCTCGCGCACCCTCAGAGTATCTCGCCAGTGACACGGATCTCCTAGCGGGCGGCATGGCTTCCGTACTTCGAGGATGCGCACGCAATCTTGTTCCTCGCACCTATTTCGTGCTTCGACGAGGTCCTCACCGAGGACCGGCGCGTCAACCGCCTCGAGGACTCGTTCATCCTCTGGAAGGCGATTGTCTCGTCCAAACTCCTCACCAAGTGCATCATCATCCGTGCGTTATCATCCTCCTCGCTCATCTCAACCGTTGCATGACTGGGCCGTGTGCGCATCCCGAACGCGACAGTGTTCCTCAACAAGTACGATCTTCTCGCGCGCAAGCTCAAGAGCGGCGTCAAGGTCAAAAAGTATCTCTCCAGCTTCGGCGACCGCGAGAACTCGGCAGCGGTGCTGGCCAAGTGTGCGTCTTCTGCTGCTTCAAAGATCAGGAGCTGCATCGGACTGACATCGCTCCCGAGAACAGACTTGCACCAAAAGTTCCGCGACCAGCACAAGGACCTCTCGCCGGAACCGCGATCGTTCTATGGCTACGTGACGTCCGTGGTCGTGCGTAGCTTCCCCAAATAAGCGACTTCTTCCTGATACTAACGTTGCGCGATCGTAGGACACGAAAGCGACTGCGTCGACGCTTCTATCAGGTATGGATCACATTCGCCCAGGCGACCGTCGTACTGATCCCGCCGCACGCAGTGCGCGACGGTCTCCTCCAACAATATCTAGCCAAGGCGGATCTAGTCTAATACCTTATCTCTTATTCCTAAATCTCCGGATATCTCCTCTCATATCTTGTATACTACATAGTGCTCGATCACGGTCTGCATATATTTATCCCGGATCCCAATTCTCTTGAAGCAGCACGCGAGCGGGTGTGGATCATCCACGCATGTCATATCTGTCATTGAATTGTCGGGCGTGAAGCACTACAATTACAACCTGCTTGTGCCTGTCTATGAGTCGTAGCGTGATGAACTAGTCCATGAATTACAATCACACAGCGGCGGTCACGATCACAGCCGCTCCCACCCATCGCCCGCCGGCCACTTCAACTCGTCCCTCTCGACGCCCACTCGCCGCGCCGCCGCCGCCTTCTCCTGCCCATCCTCAGCGCCCTCGCGCATCCGTATCTTCCGCAATCGCTGGCTAAGCTCGCTCTCGTCCCCGCTGTACTCCTCCACGTCCACGTCCCGGTCCACGCCCGCCGCATCGTCCTGGCCCAGCCCGCTATCATCGTCCCCCTCGATCAAGCTCTCCTCGCCGTCCTCGCGCATCCACCGCGTGCCCGGCTGCGCGTGCTGCACGAACCCGCGCGGCGTGAACGCCGCCTCCGCCTTGTACCGCGCCGAGTCGAGCCGCGGCGCCGCGCGCTGGTGCAGGCTGCTCAGCGTGCGCCGCAGGTCCGCGAGCGGCGCCGGCGCGCCGTCGCTGTGGAACGAGCCCGCGCGCGCGCCGACGCTGCCGCTCGACGAGAGCGAATGGTGCCGCGAGAGCGAGCCCTGACGAGACGGCGAGCCCGGTCCCTGGTGCGACAGCGACGACGGGAAGTACGCCACCGACGGCGACGGCGACACAAACGGCGACGCGTCCCCGCCGGCCGCGGGGCCCAGCTGCAGCTGCACGCTCTCGGGGCGGCGCTTGCGCGCGGGCGGGGCGGGCGGCGGCGGGGGCGGCGACGCGTGGTGCATGCTCTTCGAGCGGAACATGCGCGGCGTGTCGGGCGCCGGCCGCTCCGCGTCGAGCGAGGGCTTGCGGTCCGGGTGCGTCGGCGGCGGGTCGGCGGGGAGGTCTGCGAGGGCGGCGGGGGGGAGCGCCGGCTTGAAGGCGGAGGCAGGCGCGAGCGCGGGCCGAAACGGGACGGACGCGCGGGCGACCTGCTCGAGCGAGCGGCTGGTGGAGCCCGACAGCGTCGACGCGGGCGGGCTGATTTTGCGGCGCGGCGGCAGGCTCGGGGTGCGCGCGCCGCGCGCGCCCGCGCTCTCGAGGCTGAGGCTGTCGCCCGAGCCCGCGCTCTCGGATGCGGCGCCGTCGCGGGGATCGTACGCGCGCGAGGGGCTGTTGCTGCGCGTGCGGCGGCCGCCACCGTGGGCGCTGGAGCTCTTGAGCACCTCGAGGACGCGCTCCTGCTCGAGGCGCTGCTCGGCCTTCTTGAGGCTCTGGGCGACACGTGTCGCCTGGAGGGACTGCTGGATGAGGAGATTCGGGTGCGCGGGCGGCGCGAGGGCGGCTGCGTGGCGCGGGGGCGGGATGACGGGGTTGGTGGGTTTGCGCGGCGGGAGGGGAGGGGTGCGGCCCTCGCTGCGGGCGCGCGACTGGAGGGATGGCACGCGGGCGCCAGGCGCTACTTCAGAGCTCCTGCGCGCGAGGAAGGGGTTGGTGCTGGGCTTGGGGGGCACCGCAGGCGGGGCTGGTGTGGAAGTAGGCGAAGGCGTCGCGGGGATGGTGCGCGTGAAGAAGGGGTTTGGTGTGACATTCGCGTCGGGCGTCGGGAGGTCCGGGGCGGAGTTGGAGGCACGATGGTGGCCTTCCGACGGGCGAGGGGTCAGAATGGGAGGAGAGGGCGAGAGGTCGGGATGCGCTGATGGATGCAATGGGTGTCAGAACGTGCGCGGGTGGTGGCTACAAACAGAAGGGAGCGGGAGCAGCCGCGGATGTGCGAAGCATCGGGCTTGTGGTCACGGCATGCGCGAGCAGAGGGTGACGGGCAAACATTACCACCATAAGGCATCCCGCCCGCAGCATACGTCCAGCAGGTACGGGAGGACGCGGCGCAGCAGGAGGATAATCGCGGCCGCAAGCACGCGCGCACCTGACTACACTATCGCGGGCGTGGCTCTCCTGCATACACACATCCGAGCTAGGGGCACATGCACAGCGTGCAACGGGAGCGGCGCGCAGGGAAGGGGCAGAGATGGAGTGGCGACGCTCACCCTGGACGAACACCAGCGCACTGTCGACGTCCTTGCCTGCGAGGGCGTGGTGCACGAGACGGAGGACGGCGAAGAACTGGCCTCCGGTGAGGAGGTCGGCGGGGGCGAGGGCGGGGCAGAAGAGGCGCAGAATCTGTTTGCGAAGCTCGTGAGTGCGCATGAAGACCACACGGGATGCGCTGCACGCACCGAGTCGATGACGCCGGGGGCAAGGCCGGCATACCTGCCTCTGAGCCAGGCGCGGGCCTCGCGGACGCCGACGGCAAAGTGTTCGTGGTCGTGTCGCTGCGGATCTGCGAGGGCGGGGACGTCGTTGTCTGCAAGATCGCGGAGGGAGGCGAGGTAGAGGGAGTACTCTGCGTTTGTGAGGGCGGAGGGGTGGAGGATGAGGGGACGCATGGGGAGGACGTGCGGGTTGGCGGTCAAGGGGCGTGCCCCGCAGACGCGCCCGGCACGCGCCTGTCATGACCGCGCCGCGCTTGCTCCTTAACCGGTAAGTACACCGCCTCTCCCTACGCAAAACACGCCGGCGTGCACCTTGGGTTCGGCGACACACCAGTCTCACACACCGACTGGCGTGCTGCTCACAGGTCGAGACGCCATCGGGACATCGAGTGCCTTGTGAGTGCGATCCTCAACCCCTATGACGTGTTGACGCCAAAGTGTATCGCTATAATTACTGGGCCGTTCGCAGGCCTACGAGCATCCAACACAGAACGTTGCTTAAACGGGTCAAGACCTAACCACATCGCGGCGCAACGCCTTATCTCAGATCCCAGCGCTGACTCTGCGTCCGCCACCGCTGCGTTCTTGTGGCGCGGCTTCTGGTCGCGCGAACGCGGTCGCTCGCTCCATCGGGCATGTCCGCACCCCCGTTCTGGAGGCCTGGGCCGTCGGCGCGGCCTCTGTTGGCAGCGCGGCTTCTGTTGTCGACGCGGCGAACGTCAAGTGCCCTTAGTGTGCCAGTCCTGCGACCGCGTGTCTGGGCCGCCGAGTGCGCCCCGTCCATCGTCAGATCGCTATCTCCGTGGCGAAGGCGCGAGGCCTGTGGACGTTCATTGAGCGCGCATCAGACGTGGGGGTTGTTGCCGTGGCATCTATCGTATCAGAACCCCTGTGCGCTCGCCGCCACCGCGCACGACGCGTGCTTGGTTAAGCCCTCCTTGCTGTGTTCAGCCGCTGCTCTTCTACGCGAGCCTGCAAGCACTCCCCCTTCGGCCGAGCCTCCCTGCCCGAGCCTCCACCCCCACTTATCTCCCAATGGCCGTCGCGGCTCCTCGTGCGCCCTCGGCCACGCTGCTCGCCACCACCTCTCTCGCGAGCACCGCCCCCTGCTACTCCCATCCCCACGGGCCGCTCCACCACACGTGTCCCGTCCAACATCTCATCCATCTCGCCTCGTCGCACTCTCTGACGTCCGCATTCTCCGCCACACCGCCGGCACCAACCAAGCCGTGCCCGCCATCAGAACGCGCCCCTACTCCCCCGCTCCGTTTCGAATTCTCGTCGCTTTTTGGCGCGACCTTCTGATCAGACCCACCCCTTCACACCCACATATACGCCAGCCCCCTCCTCGCTCCGCCGCCGGCATCCCTGCCATCAGAACGGCGCAGGTGCGTCCGCAGCCTCGTGTTGTGTATGCGTATGTGCTCCCTATCTACGTCGTCGCCCGCGTCTTCTGATGTGATACGTGCGAAGCGCGAGGCCCGTCTTCTCTCCCGCAGATGTCATCGCGCGCCCCGCTAAGCACTATTGAACCACGCACTCGCAATCAACGAGATTCGCGAACGCGATAGCCATATCCCTCTCCGCACGTGCCTATGGCTTCTCGTCCCTCTCGCCGGACGCTGGCGTCTGCATCGCTCCGCTGGGCCGGCCACAGCAGCAATGCACCAGTACACATGCCCCACCGTCCGCGTCCTCGCTGGCGCCCCGTGCTAGGTCGGCGCACAGGGCCACCGCTGCGCAGGCCTGGGCCCGCCCGATGCCACTCTCCACTGCACGGGAGCACGTTGGTTTATGCCATGATGGCGTCCGCGTCGAGCCCCACGGCGCCGGTGTCCTAAGTGCAGCTACGCGGCCCCGGGGCCATAATGCGCACGCGTGCGATAATGGGCCAATTTCGCGCGCGCGCGCAAGGCACGGTCGGGCGAGTGCCTTGGGCGCGTTGGGGGATATACGATGACACAGAGGGACTAGCGGAGTGGCGTGACGCGAGGGTTGACAGAAAGTGCCAGCGGGGAGGGAAAGCGCGTAAACCGCGGCCGACGCTAGGCGGAGACGGAGACGGAGACGGAGACGCGCAGGGCATGCTGAGATTCGGGTGAATCTGTGCAGGGAGTAAGGTTAGAGTGCGGAGAGCGTTCTTCGTTTCGCGAGATCGCGGCACGAGATTGATGAGATCTCGATGGGAGGATTTGCACCCTGATTGTGGCCAATCCGCGCCCGCCTCGTCCGCCATAATACGCCGCGTTTCTGGCCTTGCTCTCGCTCTCGCTCTCGCTCCCGCCATGCTCTTCCACCCGTCCCCCTCCCGCCTCCTCCTCCTCCTCCACTCCCCCTCCCCCGACTACCCCACACCCTCCTCCTTCTCCTCCGCCGCATCCACCCCCAGCCC